TTCCCTTGCTTTGAGTGCAACCAAGGTACATGTCAAGTCCAGTCTCGGGCTCAATCTTCAAACGTGTACGCAACATGCTCCACCCTTGGGCAAGGTTCTTCTGCGGCCCTGCCATTTTGAGGTCGTCGACATACACAACCAGAACAAGCTGGAGCTTTTCGTGAATGTACACTGAAGGCCATTCTTCGCCGATGGGCTCAAAACCAACGGCACGCACCGACTCATCGCAGTGCTGCTCCCAAAATGTTCCCGCATCTGGGTGTCCGTACAGCGCCTTCCTCAACGGGACGACGGGTCTTCTGTACTTATCCCATTTGCATTCACTTGGCACGGCCTCCGGTGGCAATTCAATCCAACACGGCGTGCCTCTCAAGGTGGCCTGTATATACGCCTGAACAGCGTCGGCCATCTGCACATCCCAGCCATCATGACAACCCAGATAATCCGCCCAACGCGAGGCTTCAAATGAAGCAGGGGAGTTCCCCAAATCTTGAAACATCGCAGCCTCAAAGCTTTGGTTCTTCACTTGGTTCCCCAGCAACACGCCTCTACCCTTGAACTTCCTCTTAGGATCACCAACCGGCAACTGTGAGTGCTTTTCAACGCAAATGCCATGTGCGCGAGCCATGTGTATCTCCTCCCCCTTCGCTTTTGCTTCTCTGGCTACAGCGTCATATTCGCGCACCGCGCCAAGATCGAAGACCCCGGTCGATTAATCCCGACCACTCTTTCTTCATTGATGCTAATGCATCAGGGTTGGTCAACATCTCTTTCCGGCCTACCGGCCTGGATACTAAAGCGTCGAAGAATCGTACAACTTTCACAGCCTTCTCTCTGTGCTGTATTCGCTCAGAAGTCACGCACGGCATCGATGGGTACTTCTTGGCTTCACCGTCTTCGCCTATCGCAGGCATCGCGAGTGGCACTTTTCCAGAAACTACCTCAGCAGACTCCTCCCATTCATACCAGGTAAGATCCGTCGATTCGTCGACCGATGGATCCGTCCCCGATGCTGTCTCAGCTTCGTCTTTATGACTCTCCATGACTGATGCAACCGCCTTCGTCCAGTTTGGAGTCGACTTTGATCGCTCCTCAGACTTGAACTTCCAGGCATAACTTACCACCAGACACTCAAATTCTTTCTCAAGCTGAACGTTTCGTCTCATGACGTCTTGGGACTGTTTGGAATCCATGAGAACAACCACCCCGTCGACAGGATTAACAACAATCCTGACCCATTCAAGCTCAGCCAAGTGCTTCCCATCCATTGGGTTCTTGATCTTTGATATGTTCTTCCGCTATCCCCAATTGTACTGCCATTCTACTCCACCCCAGCGGTTCCGAAGCATCGCTCGAATTCTCTTACCACCGGGCATCTGTAATGTCCGTGCCTCTGCCGGCGCGGAAATCTCAGACTCCTTACCCTTGGGACCTTCTTCTTTCCTTTTGCCACCGCCCTTCACCTCGGCCTTCTCTTCCTTGGTGTAATATTTACTCATCATCTTCCATTCTTCAGGAGTGAACTCCGGAGGTCTCGATGTCTTCATTAGCCTGAATCCATCCTTCCCGACAGGATACGGTCTTCCGGCCTTGTCGATTTTAACCTCCGTGCCATCGTCGTTGACGTACGTGATGCCATCCCCAGGTAGTCCAACTGACACGTGTGGAAGGTCGGACTTTACAACCTTCTCATCGCCCTTAGGGTGTCCATCTCCCTTCCCTTTTGAAGAGCTCGGTCTAGCATCTCCTTCTCCTGCATGATCCCCCCGATCTCCGGCGATTACCTCCGGGCCATCGTCGAGCAGTAGACCAGCGATCTGATCGACCTCATCGTCAAGTAGTCGCTTCTCGTCACTCTGCAGCAATTCAGGCTCGTAGTCCTCATCCTCGATCAGGCGGTCACGTGCATCCAGACCGATTGCATCGATAGACATCTCTATTCCTTCCAAAGTCTCGTTGGCAACCTTGTACTTCTGTTGTATTGGGAATGTCAGAGGAGATTTCAGGATCTTCCTCTCCGTCTGATGTGGCATTCTCAACCGAGGCGGAACCTTTGCCTTCTTGATGTTCAGCTCTGCACCCGCAAATGCAGTAAGTGCCCAAGCACGATACTTGTTTGCCCAATGCATACCGGTGCTCAACACATATCCAGCAAATATACCAGATTCCCCTCTCGGCTCGAACTTCTCCCTCTTTCCCCCTCGTGCTTCGCTCGGCTTGAAGTCCACTAGCGCACCAAAAGGTATCTTCTCGCCCTTGAACTCCTCGCCATGCAGCTTCATCCATGCACTCGATCCGTTCACCTCTTCGATGTTCATGAGATGGCACAGAGTGGTGATGGCCTGCACCCAATAACACGTGGGTAGACCGGCATGTACTAGACAAGCCGAAGTCTGGTCAATGATGAATTGATTTGTTCTTTCAGCAAGGGGATTGTTCTGCGGCCGTCCAGGCAGCGATAGGTCGTGGTTCAGCTTCAGCTCCACGCACGCATTGATCAGTTCCGGGCCGTCATCCGAATATACCTGCTTGATCTTCCTCCTCCCGCAGAAGTGCTTGATAGCCCTGACGACTGAGTCAGTGTCTCTTCTCGCGGTGGGATAAGCCATGTTAATTCCGGTATATATGTCCCGGATGATGAGCGCATACCTGCCTTCCACTTCATGGTCTCCTGATGCCGTCACAAAGTCGAACGTCACCAGGTCACCGAACGTCTTCACTTCTCTTTTGAATGCTCCCGTTCGTGATCTGAAGTGTCTCATCTTTGCCTTGACGCATGATTCGCAGAAGGGATTTCGGTATCTGTGTGTAAGCAAATGAGCT